CCGCTGGATTGAAAGCCCAGCAGAAGGGTAGGGCCCGTTTTAATCAATGCCTTATCTTGACAAGTTTGCAAATGGTGTTGATTGAATGGTGATGGATCGCGGGTGATGCTCAGGGTTCGCTAACTGAGGTGATTAATTCAAAACCAGTCTTGAACTAACAATGAGGACAGATCAAATGCATACTTTCAGGATTGGCACAGATGTCTTTACCGGCAGAGCTGCATACTCGCACCGAAAAGAGAAAATGTGGAGAAGGCAACTGTCCGATGGCCTGTGGCTGAGTGCCAGGCAGCCACGGCTCTGGGGGATGAGGGTTTCTGTTTCCGGCTAATGGCAACTGGACCCCACAGATGTATGGAACCGTCCACGAGTCTGGGCAACAAGGGCACAGAAGAAGGGAAGAAGTGGCTCAGGCAGGAAGGTTCCTCTCTGTGCTGTGTTGGGTTAACAGGGGTACCACTTTTCTAAAACTAATGTAGGATAAAGCCAAAGCCCCGCTACGTTGATCCATCACAGAAGAACAGAAGGTTAAGTTTCTTTTGAAATGGACCGTTTAAACCCAGATAGGCTAGTTGGAATGAGCTCAGAGAGACGCTGAATAGCCTTTCCATGAATACCTGGATTCCATAGTGGACAGGGCCTGAGGAGGCCAAATGGAAGGGGCAGCTGGGGGTCCAGGGTTTGGTTCCTCCAGGGAGCTTGATCTTGAACATGTGCTTGTGATGTTAGAGGGTTCTTTTGATATCCAGACAGTGATGCCAATGTAAATATTCAATGTAGTTTCTTTTTCATTTAGAAAGTAGCTTATTTCAAAAGCCCAATTTTAATGTTTTCAGTACTTCTATATGGGGTGGATTACCGAGAACCGGTGCCATGCGACTGGTACCTACCGGACCGAAACGCTACGCAGTCAATGACGTCAATAAATCAAGACAAACAAGGAGCGTTAATCCAATATATATGCTTTTCAATATAGGTTACATATCTTTAGTTCCTGCACAATGAGCATACATTTAAAAATTAAATGATTAATATTCCCAAAATTCCAAATAACAAATACACTATATACTTCCGGCTTTTCTAAAGGGAAAACACTGTAAAATGTTGTTAACATTTAGTATATTGTTTAGTTTGAAGTTAAAATGTTTAATGCTGTAGTGTGAAATGTTTGTCTTTATTTATATTTACAGTATACCTGTACACAGTTACTATATTGTACATTTGAAGAAAAACCTTTGCCTTGGCAATAAAAAAAATCCTTTAACCTTTGACATTTACTTCTTTAATGTCCTCAATCGTCATTTTGTGCTTGCTTTTTCTTTAAATGCGTTGGTTCAGGCACCGTTTAGGCACCGGTATTAGAAAAAAATCATACCCATCCCTCTATATGCAACAAGCAGAGCAATATCAAAAGTCTTTGATTGATGATATCTATATACTTATAGAAAATAGGTTGCAATACCCGCGAGGACAACAATGAGGTCCTTTTTAAACTGACTGAAGGCGAGTCACTGAAAATCACTGAGGTGAGGTTTGGCAGTCACAATAAACATGAATAGTGAAGTATTCAAGTTACAAAGTAAATGGGTGATATTTCAAAACTCAATGCTGAACTAGTTAAAACACCAGCTGCCCACTAGTTAGCTAGCTAGCTTCTCTATTTTCAGTCCAGTTTAACCATCTTTTCGAACTGATTGACCGTCACTCTGGAGAAGGACGAGTTGTCTACCCGGCTGACTAGCCCGCCAACGTGTGTTGTCACCATAGTAACAAACAATGGTGGCAAATTTTATTTTTAACCTAATTAATAACCACAGGGAAAATTTCAATGTTTGTTCTACTTTTGTCCCATTTCCATGGTGTGTGACTAATAGGATGAGAAGATCGAGAAGGATTTATATTTAAGTACAATGGATGGAAGCTAATGAAAAGAAGTATCGGTCAAACTCCCCCCAGGGCTTTGTGGGATGTTGGATCCATTCTTCCGAGCCAACAGCAGGCGTAGCTCAACCTTTGGTGAAAAGTTTCTGCTGTGTTTGAGGGAGACCTGGCTTCGAGTAACAAAGATACAGAGGGGACCCGCACAACGCTGTTCTTTCTCCTTATCTTCTCCGGGATGCCTGTGGCTCCAATGCTGCCTCAGCAAGTGTTCTCTGTGGAATTTACACTCCCACACCCCGTTACAGCAGACACACATACGCACACATACACATAGGAATGCAACATAAGGGACCAACAGCTGTCGCTGTCACCAATATGGGGAACGCCCAAAATATTTCCATCATCAAAACCTGACATTGGCATTCCCTCTCTCTCTGATGCGCTCACACACCTGAGGAGATCAACACGGCCCTTTTACCCGCCATCACGCCATTCGAGAGGACTTCCTGTCGATTCAGAGGGATAAACTAATATTTACGGTGAGATTGTCCATTGACGTGAGAGCTTATTGAAAGGCTGAAATGTCTGTATGCAACAAAAGTGCTAGAAATATAATGGACATCCCACTAGAGCACCAATTGTTTCAAAAGCACTCCTCTCCCTTTGGTCCTCAATTCCAGTTGTCACACTGTTAAAAGTAACAACAAACGGTGGATCCCTGATACTTGACACCTACAAATCATTACGTCCTGGCCTCGCTGCACGCACGTACCCAGCGGCGTCCTTCTTTTTAAAAAGGATTTGCCAACCGGGCAGAAGAATAGTCATTTTCAGCTGCAGAGGATTGGCTTCTCAATGGCCAGCTGCAGCTGAAGTGGCCTGCCACCCATTCACCCGCTGTGTGTGTGTGTGTGTGTGTGTGTGTGTGTGTGTGTGTGTGTGTGTGTGTGTGTGTGTGTGTGTGTGTGTGTGTGTGTGTGTGTGTGTGTGTGTGTGTGTGTGTGTGTGTGTGTGTGTGTGTGTGTGTGTGTGTTTTGAGGTCCGGATGGTAAGCCTAACCACTTCCTAATGAGAATAATCAGCCCACAGTTTGCTTTCAAAAGCGCCGCGTGCAAGAAGTCCCGAAATTGTTTGGGGTTTTGCGGCAGATAGTCCCCAATTATGCAAAGCCCCTAAAACTGACTCATGTCCAAAATGAGACGGCAATACCATTAGTTCATTGATTACATGGAGTGTATTTAAACTCCAATCAATAGTTTAAAGTAAAACATGTCGTATTGATTTGGAAGTAAATCTAAATTGAATGTATTATATTATATATTTTTCTTTTGTGAAAGCTTATGATAATAGGATGGGTGTGCCAGTGTGTGCCTGCAGGGAAGTGACTGTCTACTGATGCTCAATCAAATAGCTGGATCGGGTTTTGGTATCAGAGCGCTGACCCGTATGGGCCAGACATCTGACCAGCTGACGTTATTTACAGCACTTTAGTTTCTTGAACACAATCAAAAAGGAGAACGAGCAAAGGAAAAAACACTTTCATCTACAAGATGTTAACGGTCCAAACTTGTTTTCATAGAGCGAAGAAATGAAGATGAGACACTTAAGGATGAAGACACTTCTCTGAGTCTGGGAGCTTTTGGGCGGCGTTAGCCAGCCAACTTGGTTGCTTCCTCTTACTACAATTGTACCAGTACAAGAAGAACAAGGTACGCTCACGATCTCAGAAACGTGACAAGGTTCACGGCATCATTATCATCATCACAACAAATAGTTCAAACAAATAGCATTGAACCATAATATGTAATGTAACTAAATATTGTTTTACGTAGCATGTTAAATTAACAGCTGGAGGATAAAGACATTAGCTGTGAGCTATTGAAAGGATTTCCTGGTTCATATGTGGATGATTAATAACATTCCATTTCAGCAAGACGGTAACCTGTGATTGGACAGTGGCAAAGGGGCGGCCCAGTTCACGTCTTTAACAAACTGTATTATTTATTCATGTACAATAAAACTTCTCCACAGGCCGTTGTCTCTGATATCGCCATAACACTTCAATCACCCCCCCCGAGACACACAGTTAAGTATGGGTAACGTGACACCGTGCTGGAGCAGACCCTTAGCTAGCAGATGGCCAGTCATTCAGACGTCTGGGCCGCAAGCAAAAAAAGAATGAGGTTTGAGGCTTTGCCTAGAATCTTGACAAAAGCTTGTGAATATAATCTTTTAGAAGTCAATAATATGTGACTTCTAAAGAAATATTTTTGAAGAAAACCTTCTTCATGATAAGAGGGGAGTGGTTATTCTAAGGATTCTTATGGTTGGTTTTGATGAATTTCTGAGCCGCTGTCTCCTTTCCTAAATGAAACCCTCTCTGAAGACATGTCAGACCTCACATCAGGAAAGAGGCGTGACCGGCAAATGTCAAATGAGTGACAGAAGAGGCCGGACTCCACCATCACCACCATCACCACTATCACCACCACCCACCAATGACATGAAATTCAAGAATCACACATCCAAAAAGCCAGTGAACTTGTGTCACGTTCAATGAACACCGTCGAAGCAGATCCTCTGTGTCTTCTAAGTGAGGCAATAAACAGGCAGCTGCCTCTGTGTGTGTGTGTGTGTGTGTGTGTGTGTGTGTGTGTGTGTGTGTGTGTGTGTGCGCGCTTCCAGCAGAATGCTAGCAGGTGAACAGGCATTTGGCATTTGGCTAACACACATCAGCTGACAAAAGTGTGTGGCGTGTGTGTAAGTGTGAGTGTGTGTGAGTGTGAGTGTGAGTATGTAGTGTGTGTGAGTGTCCCCATGGTGTGGGTGCGTGTGCGTGCCTGACGTCCAAAGGCATTGTCCTGAGCAGTCTAGTTGCAGTGTGTGCCTCGTGTGGTGTTTGGGTGCTTTCAGACTTTCTGGACCCTCGTAATTGCAGACCTCAGCCTCCATTTTTCTAATTAAACATTTCATGATGACAATTGCCAATGTGACTTATGAAGCCAACACCACGAATCATCCTCCAACAAGTAAAAAACACTTCTCTCCGCGCGCTGACCACGAACCCCTCTCGTTCTCTTTAAGTTTCCCATTGTCCCAGATGATGGCCTTGAACGTACCTGTTGGGTCGGTGGAGGCGCGTGAATCAGCCTTCCATGGCGCTGGAACACAGACTCGCATCCACGCCGGCTCACGAGCACAAAGTACCTGATGAAGTCCAGCGTGTCACTTCACGTCGCTGTTTGGTTCCCCTCTCGAAAAACGCGGCGCACCTTATGCGCCACAGACTCACAGCTGGCAAAGTAGAAACAAACTCCGAGTCCACACACTGGTTGTATGTGTGCGTGCGCGTGTGCGCGGGTGTATCAGAACCGGACGCGGTCTCTGTCGCTCGGACGGGCAGGTCTCCGCATCTGAGAGGCTTCAGCACAGTCCGAGCGGAGACAAGGTACACGGAGTCAGAAAGGGTGGGACAGGAAAAGGTCGCCTTCAAAATAAAGCACGAAACTATAAAGTATGCCACATTATCAGTACATAAAACGAAGTGCAACTGAGAGGTACTTTAACATCATCTTAATTTTTCCACTTCATACCTCAAACTCAATATACAATACAGGTTGATAATGAAAAAAAGGTGGGCTACATCACATCGTACCCTGATGATAACTGATACACATGTAAACAATAAAACGTATAGGTTCTGCAATAGGTTCACTGTGTATGAAAGGTATGTCCTCTCGGTCTGTGTCCGCATCAATTTGTATCCCCGTAGTCTATCTGAGACCCCCATGAGTGTTTTATTTTGAAAATGCTCCTCTGAAGTGTTGCTCTGTCTCTGCGGGCTTGACGCTGTAGCTTCACCCGGTGAAACCAGTTCACACAGAAAGCCGCAGTTCGCCAATTGCACTCTGAATTCATTGTGGAAAGATGGAAGTAATACTAAGCCTATTAGAGAATACATGAATAGTATGTGATGTGTTGGTTCTGTGATCCTGTTCGAACTGTGAAGTGATTTTTCGCATTTTCGCTGGTCATATTGTATAAATGTAATTACGTACAGCACACTGTATGTTCGGATGCTTTTATCTTTTCTTCAGTTGTGGAAAACAGATTAAATATACTATGTATATTTATTTATCTGTTTAACGATTTAAAGAACGATTTGGAAATCCCTCCGAGATGAAAATGAACAATTACTTCAGAGGTCTTTTGTCAAGCCCACTGGGATGTAGTGTGTCCGCCCTCTGCTGGTGTGAGATCAGTTTTGTGTTCCCCAAATTTTGTGTGATCAGTTGAAAACACTTGTCAAGATGTTAAGATTACTTTAAAACTGCAGAATGTATGACAGTCATCTCCTTGTATAGCAGCACAATGCAAGACCGTTAGCATCATACTTTTCTAAGATGAAGACGAAAGAATGATTTTCTACTTAGAATTACTTTGCGTCACCTGTCATTTAGTGAGAATAACAGCTTGCCTATGTGACGACACGAGTGGGCGGGGCAGGGGGCGTTTCCGAGCGCTTACCTTCTTACCTTTTAAAAAAAAAAATTACCACGAGCCCTCTCACCTGTACGGTTGAAGATCCCAAAGCTCCTACAGATAGAACGGTTTCTAGAACTTGAAACCCACAGCTTGGGAACTTGAAACGAGCCTGAGCCATGGAGTCTCCCGCGAAGGATTCCGTCAGAGCGGGTTTCCGCAGACAGGAGGTCCAGAAAACGACGTGGGACGTCCCGGAGCGGTACACAGCGCTGCGGCCGGTCGGCTCCGGGGCTTACGGGACAGTTTGGTGAGTTTACCCGGAGGAGGGGGAAGAATGGCGGCTGCATGACTTTGACTATTTTTACGAGGAAAGTGCCGTAGAGGTTTGAATAATATATATAATATATATATATATATATTCATTTTTTATCAACAGAAATGTGCATTTGAATATTTTTGTCGAATAAACATCAATTTCTCAGGGACTACTCCATGCGCCAACGTCGCCCCCATTATGGCACATAATGCCAATGTTACAATTAATCATATTTTATAATTCTATAGGTATTACTCTCCCACATATAAACATTGCAAATGTCTGAGTTTACATGATAAAATCCACACGTTGCAATGACCCACCTGCATTGAATCCTTATTAGAGCGGTGAGTGGCTGGCCTTTTGTTGTCCACTATTAGGGATAAATACCTGGCATCACAGTGGGTTTTCTACATGTTGGCTATTTAAGCCTCAAGTCTGCATTCCGCTCCCAGGCAGTCCGAGAGTCCAAGATTACTCTGACATCTGCTAACAGAGGCGCTATTGTCGGCCCGAGGAAAGTCAGCAAGTCAATACAGGTCCTCCGAGAGACAGGAATCTTCCCCTCCGACAGGGAGACACCCGGCCAGGAATCCAGAGTACCTCAGATCTAATCACAAGCCGCTGATACCAAGCTACCTGGATTTCAGAGATGGCACCAGCCCATTACAGATATAAGGAGCGCAAATACTTTTTGACTTCCATGTAAAATAGCACATGTTTAATTTCACCCTATCCAACAGAAAATGTACTGATGGGAAGCAAAAAGAGTGTAAACAATTTTCTACACCATAGTGAAGCTGAAATTAAGTGTCAGTCAATGGCGCCATCAGAAAAACATTCACACACAAACAACTACACACACTTTGATAAAGATGAATCGTTTGTGTCAGATTTTGTGCAGCTTTATCATCTGTTTACATGATTCTAAAATAAAGTTGTTAAGGTCAGAATGTGTCACCTTGGTTGGTAGTTTAATGGCGGGTATTTTTAGCCTTTTCCCAACATTTTATAGCAGAAGCAGTTTACCAATTAATTCAAAATTATCAACAAAATACCCGACCCTTTATGTCGATGACCGTTATGTGGTGGCCTGGATTATGAATCGGCTTGGGTCTCCTGCCCTCTCCACTGTGTTTGACTCTTAGTTCTGCCATGGACCAGCAGAGCAAGGAGATGGTGGCCATCAAGAAGCTGTATCGTCCATTCCAGTCCCTCATCCACGCCAAACGGGCCTACAGGGAACTGCGGCTGCTGCGCAACACACAGCACGAAAACGTAGGAACATTTGAAATTAGTGGGTGGGCGCGGCAACATAAGAAATGAATTGTTGTGATATCCAGTACAACAGTGAGCCAAAGGTCTTTTTGTCGAGACAATGAGTTGTTAGTGTATTTGTTGAGTCGTTATTCAACCACGGAGGTCAATCTCCAGAATGAGATGAGGATAAGCAATCTTTGTTGACCATTCAACAAAAGCCCTTAATCTCATTATGGCACCTGACAAGCTGGGAGTGTTGTGTATTGTCGGAACCCTCATGTTTCAGTGTTTTTATTGAAAACCTTTGAGGAACATCACACACTCTTACGGAATGACCTTTTACCAGGAAAATCTTTAAATAGCCCGAAATTCAATCCGTTCTCTTGATTTATTTTGAGTTTGGTTTGTAAAATGAAGAGTTTTGAGAAAGGGATATAGGAGCTAACCTTATAGCAAATAGCCCATTGATTGGATATTACAAATTTAGCATTCTTGACATTGTCATTAAGGTTGTGTGGAACCAGAATTGAAACGAGAGGGTGAAGCACAATTACAACCAAACTCTGAAAGGCATTTTCAGGTGATCCGATACTAACATTGTTGTCTGAAAACAACTGTGGACGGGTTAAAGTTACTGTCAATCACCGTAGCCCCGCCCTGAAGCATCCTCAGCTTTATGGTTTCTTTGACCCTAGTCTAAATGCACCATCCTTGCTGTTTTGAAGACTACAAACTCATGTTTTTAATCTTTGCTCCTACACTTCCTTACAATCGGAGGAGTTGACCCCTGATGGCCATTAGAGAGAATTCAAGTTTTGGCGCATTGGCATCACTAATCAAAACTGTTGCCTGCATCTGGCCAAACCTCCAAAACAGAAGTTCCAAGGACAATGACGTCAACACCTGGATGAATGAGTTTTATATTTGCGTATTAACAGACATCTGGTGTGGATGTTTTCTTTCTCCTAAAGGTGATCTGCCTCCTTGACGTCTTCACGCCGGATCCCACGCTGGAGAAATTCCAAACCTTGTGAGTCGGGATTCACAAACCACATTCTTGTGCTCACAGTCGCAGCTTGTTGAGAAAACCCCTCTGTTGCATGTGTGGTCACGTTGGAAACGTTCCTGCAAAGATGTATGAAAGCCAGTTTAGTCAGGCTTGCTTGGGTTGCCTGGCGCATTTCTTCAATAAGACACCATGTTGTTTTGCATTTCTTTAATATGGCGATAAGGTTGTTGTCATCAACAGTATTGAGGCCCACTTCATGTCCCCTTGCCTAGTTGTTAATTTAGACTTTCAATACATTTCCTTCCTCTCTTTACTCTTTTTGTCTCCCTTCAGTTACATGGTAATGCCACTAGTAGCCCAGGATCTGGGCCACATTATGAAGAAGCGGAGATTAACTGATCGCATCATCACATACCTGTTCTACCAGCTGCTGAGAGGACTCAAGGCAAGTGTATATTTATTAATGTACATGATTGTTGAACATACTTTTACTGTAAATACCAGCGCGGTGAGGCCTGTGGCTGGTTAGGCCCATTTATAAATACATGATCCCAGTAGTTAGCTTAAATCACCATTCAGTTGGCAGCTTGCACATAGACTATAGTTGTTCTTCATATTTCATATCAGCATTCTTTACACACACATGTAGAATGTAAGATAACGTGTATCCACTAACAGCAGTTGAAATGTAAATTGATGCATCCACTGAAAACATGGATTGTCAGTAGTACCGTGGACAGTTAACGTGCTTGTGGAGTAAAGCGGTGGGTGCTTTTTAAGCAGTGACCATTGCAGGAGAATAGAAAGCATGAATTAAACGCTCCAATACATTATCTGTCTGATATAACTAATAACATACAGATTTGTTTTCAATAAATTGGCAAAAACAAAATCAACCCTTTTCACTCAATTCCAAAAGTAGAGACAAAAACTTATTTTGAAAACGTTGGTAAATTATTTCGGTAACCAAACCCTTAGTTCATGATCCTATCCCTCATCTAAAGCACAATCCTAGAACCTGGAGCTCCCTCTTCACCAAGACAGCCAAGTGCAACATCCTCATGTCAGTGAACTGCCCACCCAAAAAAGAAAGAAATTCAGCTCAAACAGCAACTGGCTCTCAACCGGAGAGCCCCAAATCGCCATTTCTAGGCCAGTCCAGGGTCCCAACGTCACACGGGGCTGCAAACCAGCCCAATGTCCAAGAAGGAATTTATTGAAATACACAAGGTCAGTTGTCTTACTGGCATAAAAGGAAAAAACATTCAATTTACTGACTGACTGCTTTGCCCTTGTTTATGACTTTCCACTCAATGCTAGTCAATGGTTAACTACCTGTGCCTGATGGAAACAAAAGACAAACCACGTTTAAAACTGAAAGGACGGACTAACATCTCGCAATAAAGAAACCCTTTGTCTTCAAATTAAGCTTCTAACGTCTCTGATCCCGAGGTGTTTTCCCTTTCTTATCTGTGTGTGTGTGGGGGTGTGTGTGTGTTTAAGCATGCTTCGGTGCCGTGAGCGCATTATGGAAAATACACAGAACACAGCGCTTACCATCTACCGGGTGAGGCGTGAGGTCACAGCGGGTCGTTTATCCGTCTGGGTCTGCTCGGCTACACTTGTGTGTGCGCCGCATGTCCATTTATTCTGTTTTATACCATGTATTTAAATCTATGTTTTCCTTCTTTACAGTATATTCATTCTGCAGGGATCATTCACCGGGTTGGTTCAATTTACATTTTCTTTTTACGCTGGGTAGTTAAATGAATATTTAGACGTTTTGATATTCTGCATTATATGTTTGAGTTGAAGGCACAATAAGTAGGATGTGGTCACTTATGGCCCACTAGCCGTGTGTGGTGACATCTGCCAAGCTGCAACCTCACATGCTGAGAAATGCCCAAAATGTCAAAGTACAGCTGTAACTTAATTTAATATCAGGGTGCATTCGAGTTTAGTTCTGTTAAGCTATCTCTTATGGTTTGGATTTAGGATCTGAAGCCTGGTAACCTTGCTGTGGATGAGAACTGTGAGTTAAAGGTAAGTTTAAGTTAAAAGCTTTTGGGGTTAAAAAAATACTGAAGGCAAAAAAAAAATCTCATTTAAAATTCATCTCATGTTCCGCTATAAATGTGAAAACATTCAGACCGTTTAATCTTCTTTCTAACCCACTTAAACTGAGATTGAACATACATTAAATCCAAATCCTAAACTGTCACTATTCCCAGATCCTGGATTTTGGCCTGGCTCGACACACAGAAAGTGAAATGACCGGTTATGTTGTGACACGCTGGTACAGGTCACCAGAAGTCATCTTCAACTGGATGCACTACAGCCAAGCAGGTAATAATGGAACCTCGCTGCAACGCAAGGAGCCCTCTTTCCGTTTGTTGAAAATATCACGGAATATTGTAGTAGTATTATTTTTCATTATTAAATTTCTCTCTCATCACAGTGGACGTGTGGTCAGCCGCCTGCATCCTGGCTGAGATGATTACAGGCCATGTGCTTTTCCCAGGACACGACAGTATCCTCACACATCCAGCTCGCCGTGTTGTAATAAAGCTGTGTATGCTCAATTATGGTAGCCAGTAAAACCCATACCGCCCTCCCCGAAAACAACACTTTATAAAACAGGTGCAGCATTGTTACAATTTCACACAGAAATTAGATGCAAAATGCTACTTGAGCCATGCATTTCTTTGCACATTTCTATTACTAAAATTATTTTAAAAATCTCTATATATTAACTATAATCCCAATATTTCTATATATCTTCGATTTGGACTTTATTTTTGGAGGGGAAAACAGTAAAACATGACCTCTCATCTTATGTGAAAAGAGCCTGACAGACGTTGGAAGTTGGAAATGAATACCATTAATTGTTAATCATATTCTTTGACGTTATCATGGTGACAGGACATGTGGCAGCAAAGTGCTGTCACATGTTTACACACCGACTGTCACACTGAACGACTTACCAGGTGACGTCAGTTGAGTCCTTGGGGTTGGGCCTAGCTGACTAGAATACCCCTCAGGTTAAATATTATATTAACTAGATATTTGAAGAATGTGGTATTCATTATGAGCCTTTCCATTCTTACCGTCCAACACAATATATATTCCGTCTCCTTTCTTTCCTTCATATATTCCTTGTTATTGTATGTACTGTGTTTTTGTAAAAAAAAAAAAAAGAGTACATGACACTGTCTATCCGGTTTGAATTCTGATTCTGAGAAGAATGAGTTTACATATATTCAGGAGGCTTCCTGAATCCGCCCGTTCAGGTATTGACCAGCTGACCAAGATCCTCCATCTGACAGGAACGCCAGACTCCTCCCTGGTCCAGAAGATGCAGAGTAAGGACGTAAGTTTTGTTCACATCCCTTGTTTATGCCGCTTTCTTTTGCCTCTCGTTATGTTGTCATTTAAAGCTTGTGCTTTGCACTGAAATGTAACCGACCACCAATGTTTTTCCAGGCACAGTCGTACGTGCTTGGTCTTGCTCCGCAGAAGAAGAAGAACTTCAAGGAAGTGTTTGCGTCCATGGATAGAAACGGTGCGGCGATCTGCCTCTGCTTGTCGACTTCAAACTGAAAGTTAACAATCATTTTTGTCATTGAAACATACAACACATTCGGCACAAACTTCCACTACGACTGAAGGACGGACGGATTTGATTTGGAAGGGCAACAATGGACGTAAACTGCAAAATATTGTAGTTGCATAATGTAGTTCAATTAGATATAGATTTACAACAATAGAACACTTAAAAGTATTAAGGAGAATCTATTAGAAGAAATGAAATCTGATGTTATGTTTGATCATCTCCTTGTGTTTTCATTAGCTCAGAATTAGTCCTTCATATCTACAAAACCAGCAGGTCGACTTCCACAGCGTTTGCCACGTTTCTACAGAAGCCCAGAAGGACAAACCAAATACTGTCTCAAGGGAGGAAGGGAGGATAAGCACATGATTTAAAACCCCAATCACTATAAGGCCCTTTTTCGTAAGAAGTTAATTTCGTTGAATTTTCAAAAAACTGCAAAAGGAGCTATCAAGTCCGTGTACAATCCACCGGGGGCACCGAAAGGAAGCGGGTAGCGCTTCTCCCAGGGAGGAATAGGGCTATTCTTCCGGTTGCAATCAGCATCCTCGCCTCTAGGGGGCACTAAATCCTTCACAGTGGACCTTTACTTACTCTTGAGCGGAACGATTTAACTGACAATACAGTTTGTGTCAAAAAGCTGGAATCTGTCTGGTAATGTTTTTCATAAGAAAACATAATATTTTCTGTATAATTTAGTTTTCTATCTTAATGCCTCCAGCTGTCAGCATTCTGGAGGGGATGTTACTGCTGGATCCGGAGACGAGGCTGACGGCGAAGCAGGGGCTGTCCCACCCTTTTCTGGCTGAGTACCATGACCCGGAGAGCGAGCCGGACTCGGAGCCTTACGATGACTCCTTCGAGAGCATGGAGCTCGCCGTCGGGGAGTGGAAGAGTAAGCTTTTCTCATGCTTGTGTTTTAGAAGTGAAATCTCAGAAGATTCGGTGCTAATACATATTAGCTTTAGTTCTTTTACCGGACATTTGAACTACTGTTTACTTAGTTTTTTATCCAATCAGGTCTTATCCACATGGAGATCATGACCTTTGACCCTGACAACCCCAGTAAGACAGCCATGTGAGACGGGACGTTCCAGGGCTCCCAATGATTGGTGAAGATACCAGCGCCGAAGGCCAACAACACTGTCAGACTGAGCGAAACAAACATGGAAAAACATCAAATTCACCTTGCCGTCTTTGATATTTGATGCCCCACGACGGGTTGCTTGACTTGGTATGGTGGCCTAAGCAGGACAGTAGAGAACACTCAGGTTACCTTCTCATTGAGCTTGTTTTCATTCTGTGATATTGAGGCAGCAGTAGCAGTTGGACTGCATGTTGAAGTTTGTTAAAAACACGGTACCACTGACTTCTAAAAGGGACGTCTCGTCCTCATCTTATAAAAACATTCCAAGTGTAAGAACTTCTCAGCTCAAGGTTACTTCTCTTGCATCTCGTGGTTTCCATGAGGAAAACATTTCGCCTTTCATTTGTGTGAAATGTTAGATGTTCGATCCATCTGCCGATAGTCAGATGAGGTTCAATGTTAAGAAAAAAGTATGAAAGGACCTAACGTTAGGATTATTTTGTAACGCTTCTATTTCTAAGGTTATGGGTGAACTCATTATTGCAAAAAAGTTGTGGATTTCAGCAAAGTGGATGGTAAAACAAATGTGTGTGAAAATATCAGAGAAGGGAATTATCACACATTTGAGTTGGGGGTCCACAATGACACACACTAGTGACAAAGAGTCATTATATCTTACTTTACAAGAATATTTTTTTTTTGCAACATATTCATGACATGAAATAGGGTGTGTGTGCTTTTATTTTTCAGTCATGATTTTTACTGCTGGAACACACAATCTTTTTTAAATAAAACCGAAATTAACTCCGAATCATGATGTTATGATTGATTAGTCGAAGGGTTGGAGGTTAAAAAAGACCAGGCCACAGAATCATCACTAGAGGGCAGCGTTACATCATAGCAGAGATTGTGTGTGAGATTGATCAATTGATCGCTAGGGAGAAAATTGCTACGTCACAGTTGCTCTCATGAGCAAAAGAACCTACTACACTACACTTCAATCCTGAGAAGTGGGATCTGTTAAGTGTCTTAAAGAATAGAGTAAAATAAAATACAAAAATAAAAGTATCTCTGGCAACATATAGAATAAACTGCACTAATGTCACATTTGAAATATTGTATGATTTTTTTGCACAGTTTAATCATTAATACAAATTGGAAGAAGAGAGATCTGCCTATTAGTAATTGAAACTATGGTTACAATGAAGGTGCAGGATAAAAATGCGGAGGAAAGTAGAAATGTAGATTATATACACAATTTTACAGTTTCTTTTTGTTGAGTATTCTCAGTGCCTTCTCCGGGCTGACTGACAGATTATTCTCTGACAACATGGGCAACTGCTCCTCTCAACCGGCCCCCCTGACCTGTAGTGTACTGCAGGGGGCCATTGTTGGCCGACTGCTGTTCTTACTGTACATGCTGCTTCTTGAATGCATTTTCCAGAAACATAACATTTCTTATTACCTTTATGCTAACAACATTCAAATATAACCTCCCCTCAAACCTGGAACTGCCTGAATTAATTATTTAATGTGCCGCCTGGCAGATGTCGAAAGCTGGCTCACGCAACATTTTCTATACCTCAATGAAGGTAAAACGGAGCTCATGGTAATAAATCCCTCTCGCCTTTCAGTTGCTATACCGAACAATCCCTCAGTTTGTCTTGGCCCCATGTCAATCCACTTTTAATTCCATGTCAAAAACCTGGGTATGATTTTAGACTCATCTTTTATATTGGGCCTCCATGTTGTGTCCCTAGTCAAAGTCAGCTGCTTTCAGCTAAGACTTAGCTTAAGTCAACGCTTTTGTTCCCTCAAATGACCTGGAGACAGGTATTCATGCGTCTATTACCTCCAGGCTGGACTACTGTAATTATTTGTATGCCGCATTAGACAAAACACTTACATCATACCTTCAATTGCTGTAGAACTCAACAGCGAGACGTTTAATTGGTACACACTGGTGTGAACACATTTCACCTAAATTAAAACCTTTCATTGGCGACGTATAGAGTATAGAATTAACTACAAAATTGTTGTTATTTGTTTTTAAGTGTTTAAAAAGTTAACTAGGGCCAACCAGTCCTTCTCTGTTGCTGGCCCTAACCTCTGGACCAACCTTCCCCTTCATGTTAGGTTGTCGTTCACTTCACCAATTCTGTTAAAAACATATTTATTTTACCTAACATGTCCTTTGTGTGATTTGTGTCAGTAGTTGAGATTTTAATGTTTCTTTACTTTGCTCCTATTAATCTAGTTATGTACAGAAGTTAATGAAATCATAAAAGCAACCACTGCTTTGCATGACTGTAATGTATAAAATGTACACAATAACTCAACATTATTTGTTGTACACATATATAAACATTTGTATCAATTTATAGATTTATAGTTTATGGTATTACGGTTAAAGCTTTCTATTTTACATTTGCTAATTTTAATGTAAAAAGTATTTCAGTACAACGAAAGCGCTGTAGAAATAAAGTGCATTATTATTATCATTATGGACATTTTCTTCTTCCCCTACTTGTCAATAACGGATAAATGTTAACTCTTGATCCCTTTTTCAGTAATATTTCTATTTCTATATATGAACATTGAGAATATCACAAAAGCAGCGTCAGATTTCTTGTAATTGGATATTTGGTAATACAGCTGAACCAGGGCTAAGCCAATGGTATTCATTAACCCTAATTCTTGGTTTCAGTATGTCAAAAGATCTAAAAGAGGAGACCAAACTGCCAAAATGAATATGAAGTCAGATTTATTGCAAACATTTTGATGTTACAAGTTTCACAATAGTTCTGGTTCTTCCAGTCAGCCTAATCCAAGTTCTTTTTTTCAGTTTTTCTCCCAGAACAGGAGAAGGAAAACAGCATCCCACAGAAACAGATAAGAGAGTGTTGCATATAGCTTCTTATGATGTTGAAATCAAAATGCACAACAAAACCACAGATATCATACAACAGAAGAGACTTTCCAGGAAAGAGGGGTTATGCCATATGTTCTTCTTAAATGCAAAATTGCCACTGTCCGGACCTCCTTCTGTGCAAATCTGAAGAACTGCCATGAACATTTTGTGTGCCGTTTGAGGATTCTCTGTCATGGCACTACAAGTATCCTCTTGTCTGCATGACAGCATATCCAGCAACCAAAAGAAAGCCAGGCTGACTCCAATTTCTTCTGCTCTTTGTTTCTAGTAAACTAATTACTCTGCCTCGACTTAACTCTCTGCAAGTAAGTGGTGTCAGAGGGAGGAGCAACAAAGTAAAAATGTTCCATTACATGGATCTGCCTGCTTGCCAATGGTCAAATGTTGGTGTGGCTGAGATTGCTATGTATCCAGGGAGTGAGGTGTCAGAGATATTTGAAGGCTTTTATGATTGGTTGTAAGGGAGAAGGGGAGTGGAACATGAGGACAAAATAAGGGCAGAAGACGAGGAGGGAGGGAGGGAGTTAATGACGACGTGATGACGTGCTGGAGCTGCTCACTTTCGATATGATGCTGACACCACCCCCGCCGCCACTCTTGCTATAGCCGCCGCCATAGCTGCCACCACCGCTCATACTGCCGCCGCCATAGCCGCCGCCAAAGCTGGCACCTCCGCCACCGCCAAAGCTGCTGCCGTAGCCTCCGCCGCCACTGCCGTAGCCGCCTCCGCCGCCTCCACTGCTAAAGCCGCCGCCGAAGCCGCCGCCGCCGAAGCCGCCGCCGCCGCCTCCACCGCCAGAACCTGATAAGAATAGCACATTATCAGATGAGATTCCATTTCAAAAATTTGAGTTTCAATTAATAACCCTAACGCTATCAACCAAGGTAACAGCGTTCTCATTTCTACTTTCACACTGGAATGCACTGGCTCAGAAATGAAGTGAATTGTACAGATATATGTTGATACATACTGGAGCTCTGTATGTGGATGGTTGAAGATCCACCGCCCGAGGTAATTCTGCAGAGGGAAACACAAAGGATTGATTGAGCTGCTGATATTGTTGCCTGCCCAACGTGATAAAATGAAGTGAAGGGTTTCAGAAGCCTTGGCGTCATGAGAGCAGCTTTTACCTGTCCTCCTCTCCCTCCAGCAGTTTCCTGTATGTGGCGATTTCAATGTCCAGAGCCAGCTTGATGTTCATCAGGTCCTGGTACTCGCGGACCTGGCGGGTCATGTCCTGCTTGGCTCTCTGCAGGGCTTCTTCCAGGTCCCTGATGCGGGCCTTGGCGTCCTTTACGGCCAGCTCACCGCGCTCCTCTGCCTCAGCAATCTGGGCCTCCAGGTTGCCGCGCTGTCAGTTTTAAAAGTTAGCAGAAGCTTTACGATTGATGTCGATAAAAGACATTCAACACATTTTCCAAACATATAAATGCATGTAACGGTGAGCTGACCTGTCCCTTGACAGACTCGATCTCATTCTGGAGGCGGCTAATCATGCGGTTGAGCTCAGCGATCTCGGTCTTGGAGCTGCGGAGGTCATCTCCGGCCTGCCCCGCGTTCAACTCCATCTCCTGGTACTGAAATAGGAATATATACAGTATTGTTAGAGACTCCACAGACTTTACTCTCAGGTTTCATATTGGAGATGTGTTTGTTGACATTACTTCATCTCTCTACCTACCTTCTGCTGATACCACTGTTCGGTCTCTTTACGATTGGCATTAGCAACGGCCTCATACTGAGCTTTGACTTCAGCCACAATGGAGTCCATGTCCAGGTTGCGGGTGTTGTCCATCTCCACGACGACTGAGGTGTCCTTGATCTGTCCCTGGAGCTCACGCAGTTCCTTCAAAAAAAGATATATGTCATTTAAAAAAATGAAATTAGAAGGTCAGAGATTAACGGTAGTAAGGTATCTATTCATCTATTCCTAACTAAGAAGGGGTTTCCCGAAAAATAAGGGCAAAGAAACCGCCATTATAGGTCTGTGATGTTCTCTTACCGCCTCGTAGACAGCTCTGAGGAAGTTAATCTCATCCTGCAGAGAGTCAACCTTGGCTTCCAGCTCAACCTTGTTCATGTAGGCGCCATCTACATCCTGCAATACAAGAAGGACAAGGAACCGGTTGGCATTGGTGACTGGTCAGAGGAAATGGCAATAAATCATTCTGCTACGTTTAATAACATGGAGGAGTTCAAATCTCACCTTCTTGAGGAGAACAAACTCATTCTCCACGCTGGCACGCTTGTTAATTTCATCTTCATATCTGACAAAAAAAACAGTGCAAAACGTTAGCTGATGGAAGGAGAATGCAGGCATCAACCGCTGCGTTTCAGTTTTTCCCTTTGGAAGAGATTGTGCAGATTTTGACTCACTTGTTTTTGAAGTCCTCCACCAGGCCCTGCATGTTCCTCAGCTCTCCCTCCAGCTTCATCTTCTCGTTGCCAAGCCCATCCAGCTGCCTGCGCAGGTTGGCGATGTAGGCCTCGAACATGGCGTCAATGTTGGAGCGGGTGGTGGTCTGCTCCTGCAGCAGGCTCCACTTGGTCTCCAGCATTTTGTTCTGCTGCTCCAGGAAGCGAACCTAAAGGGGGGACATTGTTTCATGTTTAGATACTACTCTCACTTGGCAGAACGTGAGGCTTTGATGGCAGGACCACATTAATCAGATAACGTATTTCATGTCTATAAACCCTAACCCTCAGAAACTGAAAATAAAGAAGGGAAAAGAAGTTTCCATGATTTGGCACGCTTACTGTGAGACGATAAAACATGTCTGTTGTCTTTGTTTTACTTTCCTCTGGTAATCCATTGAGCCACATGTGCGTGACTTTGCCACACAAAAGGTTCCTGCACCAGAGCTGAAAGCTGGCATATTAAAACTCTCCTCGGGGCAAGGGTGCTCCAGACTCCACTGTCCAGTCATTCTTGTTGGACTTGCACATGTTTTGACTAGTTGTAATTATTATTTTACAAACATCTGACGACGAGGACCCATCCCTCCACTTTGGGTGTGTACCTGTAAACCTTTTTTTTCAAAGCCCGGACCACACCTGAGCCTAGCCACTCCCCTTAATCCCACGCCATGTGGCACTCCCTTGCCTCCAGGATGCATACTTTCACTGAAGGAACTTGCCTGGCTCTCCCCTCAGTAATTAACACTACTTTCTCAAAGCCATTGGCTGTCACATAAAAATCCCCTTTGTGTGATGACCATTCAACATTCCCCAAACACTCATGCTTTCCTGTGACTACACGTTGTTTGAATGTTCAATTTGTGTTTCCTTCTAAAGCACCAATATTCAGATCATCTGTGTGACCGCCAATGTGTCTTGGCATGCGCACACTTTAGAACAAGCAGATTAACTTTAATTTATTTGACATTTCCACACAAGAGACAAGTTTGAATCTATTCATTCACTATTCGTTCATTCAACAGTTTTGATTGGTCTAAAGTCATCCCTCATCATTGAAATAAATGACAAAAGTTCATGGAAAGACTTTTGTGTAATGCAATGCATTGCAAAAATGGGGCCCACTGCCTGCAGCACTGTTGAAAGCTTGTGAGGCCCTGCTGCCATGGCAATAGGCCATAACCTGATCCCTTTCCCCTGGTGACTGAGAGCCACCAGTTACTGGATACAACCTCTCTACTGTTTCCAACTGCTCACTTTACACAAAGACAGCTGACAAGGGCCTTATACTGGCCAAAGATAAGTTCAAAGAAGCGGTCTGCCATAGGCATCAGTGCAGAGGCCAGCTGGTGTACAATACTACTATGGGAAGATGAGAGGTTCATGTGCAAGTTTTGTACGATTGATTAAATGATCTGCACATTATTCAGGTTTGATCAGCTGCTGTGTAATATTTAATGAGTCACGGTGGCCCCTAGGAAACTGTTGTCTGTAGACAAGACAATGGAATGAACTCTACTGTGGGCACTGCGCACACATCAGCTGTTGTTGAACCAAATTGTAGTTTGCAAATCCAAAACATATACATGATATTTTAGTCAATTTTAAAGGAGCTTTTCAGCGTTCTTTTGAAATGGTGTCATATAAAGGGCAGCTTACCTTGTCAATGAAGCTGGCAAAGCGGTTGTTTAGAGTCTTGATCTCTTCTTTCTCTTGGGTTCGGACCGTCTGAATGTTGGGGTCGATGGAGATTTGCATGGGGGCCAGCAGGTTGGCATTAACCTGGACGTTTGAGATGGTCCCTCCCATGCCTCCTCCACCTCCTCCACCACCACTGCCAAAACCGTAGCCGATATAGCTGCCTCCACCAAAACTGCCACCACCACCTCCACCGCCTCCACCACCAAAACCACCTCCACTACCAAAACCACTTCCACCTCCAAAACCACTTCCACCTCCGAAACCACCTCCGCCTCCGAAACCACCTCCACCACCTCCAGCACGAAGACTCCCAGACATCCTTTGGGATGATTTGGTTATCATCGATCTTGAGGAGTATGATCGGCCACCACCAGCTCCAGCACTACCACTGCCCCCATAGCCACCAATGCTCATCCTGGAGCCTCCACCACTGGAGATGATACTTCTCGAAGACATTGCAATGTCTGGTTTTATTCCCACTCAAAGGGAAGGATTCACAGAGAAAAGAGGAGCAGACGGAGAGATTCGGCAGAGCGATGGAGTGCACGAAGAGGAGAGTCAAGTCCCTCTAAGTGTCTTCTCACTGCCCGTGATGGATTTTTATCTGCCTTCAACCGTGGAGGAGGTCCTATTGAGCTCCACCCCCTCTGCACCGCCCCTCCACCCTTCTCCAATGTCTTGTATCCTGTAGAGGCACATACTGGCAGGTGGATTGGCGTTGGAGCAGCTCAGCCTGTCAAACAGGTAACAACACCACCCCTGCGATCGAGGCCTGACACACCCAGGTGCTCGAAGAGGAATGGCAGCAGAGCCGGGGGGAAATTGGGGGTAAAGACAGGTTAGCAGGGACATTTTTTTTGTTTGTTTTTGGGGTATTAAGGTTTGGGACGTACACTCAATGAACCACCATTTTCTCTCTTCCATATTTTGCAAGATCAATACATATGAAAATGTTATATCAGAGCATTTTTGGTGAATATAAACTGGTACTTTTTAATGGAGTTAGAGGGACATAGAGATTGTGCATTGTGCTAAAATTGAGCTGTCAGAAGTTAGAATAAAACGCATTGACTTTTTTATGGTTGGCGGTTCACTTTAACTTCTTCAAACAATGGCACCAACATTTAAACTTGTTTTAGAATTTGTTATAACATGAAAGGAGTGAATGCATCAATAACCCTGAGGGGAAACTGGTTTTGTCGGACTTTCCTTGGGAACTCAGTAGACTATCTTAAATCTGAATGAATCTGTGAAGACCTGCACTAAATCTCAAATGCCTGAGTTGCATTCCACCATACGGTTAGTGATGCGTTCATGCCTGCAGTTTGTCGTTGGTTGAGGGTACTGTATGCTCTATCTTTACTCTGTGTCTTTCTATGGTTTGCTACAGTCACAGAGATATACCAGCATCGCTATTTTTTTCTTTACAGTTAGTTACAACTTATGAGCATGATTTGTGCATTTTTTAAAGATTTAATCTCTTTTGTTTCAACTTTAATCTTCGCTGCGTCACAGCCAACTTGCAGCCGACAGAACATCAGGGGTTAAAAGTAGACGAGATTTATCGCTCTGACAGAATTGGAATGACGGGTACCTGTTAAAACGCATCTCAGCAACGCTGATGTAGGTGTTGGCTTACCGGCCTCTGTACTAAAGCAGCCTCTAAATCAGCTTCAGGGTCCATGTGAGTCACACCCCAAACTTCCAACATTCTCTCGTATAAAAATTACATTGAGATGCAATACACTGCACCTTCATCTGAGCTATTTTAGCAGGAAACTCACATCAGAAAAACACAAATTAGTTTCAAGTTTAAGGATAAATATGAACTAATGTTATCTCAATCCCATATACACAAAACTTTCGTCCTTCATTAGATTTTTCAACAAGTTTGACTTTATGTCTTTCTTTAGATTGATGGTTGGTACTGATCGCTAAACAAAGGAGGGGAAGGGGTCATTGCCCACCACCACTTTAGTTTGGGATGAACCAGCCACACCACTTCACGGCCTAATTTTGTTTTGTATTACAAATTTCTCATGGATGAAGGATTTATAAAAACTAAATGTGTTGAAAATAAACTTCACATCCAACCTTTAACTTGTCCACAACTTGAAGCGTGTATGATTTGTTAAAGAAGTGTACACGATATATTTGAACACATTTGTTGTGCATATACAGTAGGCCTGTGAAACATTTTCCTGCTGCAAAAACCTCAAATGAAGTGTTAAAATACAATGCAAAAACACGTTTGACCTTCGCATAACAACAAGCCAACCCATTAAACATCTCCTTTGCATACAACCAAGAGACATTAGATTAGGCGATGACAGCTTACTAACCTTTCCTTACAGGCGGTAGCAGCCCCAAATCTGCTACAGGGGTTGTATTTGATCTCACATGATATGACAGGTGACATTTCAGGCTTTCTTGTCAGAGCATGTTGTGGAATGTTCACAAACTCTTTTTCTGTGTGAGAACCAGCCTTGAGATGGGAGTTTACTCTTGGGAAGGAGAATTGCTATGATGAGTAATTAAATGAGTTGTTTCTGACATGCAATACTTTCATATCAATTGCGGCGTTGTTTGTATCATATAGGGTTGTTATGGGATACTGACTTGGCCGGGAAAACTACATGCACAGTAATGCAGTGTACCACAACTCAGTGTTGAAGTCAGTCGAGTGCATTAAGAGACATTGCAGAACATAATGTCTTGTCTTAACACAAGTTGTGACCCAATTTTGATTACATTTCTTTCTTTCTTACATTGTTTTGCACCAATTTATTGGAAAAGTTACCCTCGTATGGTTGAATTAGCTTCATTAGATTTAATTACAAGTGCAGCAAGACTTTTTAATGTGAGCCAAAGCTTATTGCACACCACACAAACTACCAATTGCCAAAAAGAGGATTGACAGGTGCATTAATTATGGCCAATCGCAATGAACCTCGGCCTGGGTAAAGAAACATGAAAGTAGTGAAGTCCTGCGGTGACGGAAAACCTAAATAATCTGTTGCGAAGTAGTGACGCCTGCGCGAGCCACATGAATGTTGCATTTGATCTTGTAGATTTTCAGTTTGTTTTTGTTTTTTCACTTGCATGCAATATAGCTATATTATTTTTGTAAAAAATAAATACCAGTAGTTAGTTTGCACGACTGTAGTTCTTATTTACAGTTTCTGTAGTGCATAAAGGTTTTGGGTTACTTGGTGTGACCAAGTTGAGTTCAAAGTTGTTAAATCAGCTGAATGTGAATGGCGTATTAAACAGAACCTCTAAACTGAAAACAAATATCTTGACATCATCTAGTGTTGTAGACTAGAGATAGTATTCCCTTGTCCTCCCAATTGACCTCCATGTCTCCACCCCAGCTGTTACTTTGTAAAGTACTACTTATGGAACACACACTGTCACTAACTGCACTCTGTAAAGAAATATATTTGAAAATAAAAAAATGCAATTTCCGAGCGAAGCAGACAGAAATGTCTATATTATGGATATGAAGGATATATGAGGATGTCCAGCTGCTTCAGCAATGGTCATGCGTTAAAACGATAACGATAGAAGCTGAAGTCTACAGATCACAGTGTCAGCTGTTCCTGTAAAGCTAGTTGGGTCTTTGTTTACTGTGACAATCCCTAAAAAGCAAAAGCAGCATGTGTATATACTCAGTACTTCAGTAGCTAACATAGCAAACAAGTGCCAACATACTCTGCTAGTGTTAGCTACACAGGTTATTACACAGGAACATAAAGTAATTCTACCTTCAACTTCAAGTTAGTGCTACAGTCACGGTGTACGATTAGGGCGTGGTGCCCTCAGTTCTACAACTCCTTCTCTCACTCATTTAAACACACACACACACACACACACACACACGCACACACACACACACGCAAACATGCACAAACACTGCACTCTAATGCTATTCCTTGTGTACTTGCTCAACAAAAGCTACTAAAAAGGGAGCGGTAGTAGACCATCAAGCCAAAGGGAGATTCTCTCCACTGAATAAAGGTAAGATTCTGATGGTTGCCACACCTTCAGAAGAATGGGGAGGGTTAACTACCATGAATGCAACGTTCCCTCATGTGTAAGAGTCACTGCGCTTTTTATTCAATTCTAATGACTGAGCTTTTGAACGGACATTGTGCAGATTGGTGTACTTGTCTTAACCCGACTAAAAACACAGTCACTTTTTGAAATGTTTAAACTGAAGGAAAAAATCCCACAAGCAAGAAAAAAGTGAAGATGCATACAGTAAAGATCTGGTAAAAAAGCATCTCCAGGGAAGAAGCCAACTATTGGCTAAAGCACATGGGTAGTAAGACACAGATTATTAACTATAAATATAATGGCCCTATTTGATCTAAATGTGTCAATTAAGTGGGCTTAGTACAAAACCGCTCCTGAGCATCCTCAAAATTAGAGTCAACAATTTAACTTCATATTTGTTTTATTTCAAAAAACAACTCTACAAAAGTAGAGCTGCAGCACCCTTTCAAATCCCCAGGTAACCCACGACCTCGCTTGCTCTTCTTCTTCAGACCTCTAATGTGGCATAAGAAGCATTCTGACAATGTGCAGTTCATTAGGACATGCCTTTCTACAGCTTTCATTTTTTGCTACCACACCCAGTACTACAATAGCCAGAGGGCAAACTGGCAAAGTGAGAGCAAAGCTCCAACTTGAAGATAGCATATTTCTTTGCTGCCTTCATTGACGAGCGAAAACAGGGTAGGTCCGTGGGTGTGCTCAAGCGCTAAGGCAGTGACTGTTCCTAAGAGCTGGGAAAGAAGCGCCACACCTGGTAACAAAACCTGCTTCTTGAAAGGCGGGTAGCTGGACAAAATAACGTAGCCCATGACATCTGCAAGAACTGCTGCAGTCACTCCCTTGTAACACGTTGGTATACTGTCTGTACACCTGTATGACTGAGTCCAGGGACAGTGCAATTCACTAGACTGAACCAGTCTTTTCAGAAAAGGTCAAAGCGGGTCATGTTAGCAGCAGTCTGGAAAGCCCACATTTTTCCCTCCATGGACGGCTGAGTGAAATAACATTTGCTTTAGTAGCGATGCTGAAACCTGATACTTTGATACTATGAAGATATGTAAAGTGGAGCTTATTTCTCATTCACTCTTTTGTTTTGGCCATCACTGAATTTGTATAGTGTGTAAGACTGTTTAACACGAGGCATGGTATCGCAGGGGTAAAGTTAAAACACTACTGATAGACACCTGGTTAGGGCCGCTCACTCTTTCCCTTCTCCTCAGCTGGATTTGAATTATCAAAATTACCTCCTAAAGTCTATTCCTAACCACTATTCCTTGACCTCTGTGAAAACTGTTGGTTAGGAGAATTCATGAGGAGTTAGGAAAAGTTAACTGCTGTGTTTAGGGAATCCTCTGACCCCACTTTCACTAAGCTACGTAGTTCTGATTCGACGGGTCTGCAGCAGCCAAACTACAATTTCTCTGAAAATGGACTACTATTAGCAAGGTTGCAACATACATTAGTTATGCTTAGGTTACTTACTTGATTCGCGTTTCTCATTCATGAGTATTGGTTTTCTTAAACGGC